GCAGGTGCCCCCGAGGAGTGCTAATTCAGATTCAATCCTATATGAGGTTATCTAATTTGTTAACACACACACAGATACGTCAAACGCAGGCAGGCTGGCACAGCTCAACCTGTCCTAGGGGGATTTCTATCAGACGTAACGGTTGTTGGTACTTCAAGGGCAATCGAATCATTCCAGGGATTTCTAGGTGGTGCGAAATGGATTTCAAGGGTCCCCCGATTTTGAGAGGCCCATGTAGCCATTCGGATCCCTTTGTGGCCATTGCCTTTGGGTTGGGCGGAGCTGGGGTTGCCTTTGGCAGGCGCGAGCAACATCTTCAGCTTTCGCGAGAACCTCCCCGAGCAGACGCTCAGGGCGCTGCTGAGGACTGTCGAACTGACCGGCGAGACGAAGGATGCCCGTCTCCATGAAAAAAGGGTTGTTTCCCCAACAAGTGAAGGATGGCGTCTTACAATGGGGCACCTATCAATCAAGCTGGGGTTTAATTAATCTGGGGTTGACATTGCTTGTTCAGTCTCTTTTTTTTGTTGGTTGCGTTGTGGTGCCCGGCTTCTTCATCAGCTTAGCTAGGGGTCAGCTGGAAAAGCAAGTACATACGTGTATGTCTTTTGAGGGTACCCTTTCTTCAGTTGTAAAAGTGGAACCGGATGGAACATCACCCATCCTGTTTCTATTCCGTGGGCAAAGTTAAGAGGTACATTTATGAATGGGAAGAAGTGCCACAACAGGGCTCCGCAGATTGAGTAAACAACCATGTTTCATGCTGAGCGTTTTTGCGGAGCGGGGTCAAGGCGAGGGCGGGGTGGGATTTGCGTGGATCGAGTCGTGCTCCAGAGGACTGTGCAGCCAAAGGCGGGAAGGGAGGGAGGGCCTATGTTTGGGCGTGACTCATTGGGGACCCCGACGGGCCGCCGCAACCATTTGTTCAAAAGGAACCCGCAGCCGGAGGATCCTTTGGGCTCAACTCCCCCTTGAGGGCTGCGGTTGAGTGAAGTGGAGAGCCCTAGAAGGAATCCTCTGCAAATTGGACTTTTCGGGATCTCATTCCCCCAGCTTCCCTATCGGCAAGTGTGTGTTTAAAGCTTTCTCGCAGGCCGACCAACAGAGTTTGGCCGTTCAAATTTCCCCTTCGACGCTTGGATCAGGCTTGTGACACCGCAAGCCCAGGTGGCCTTTTTGGTCGGGCAACCCACACAAGAAGTGAGTCAAGGATCCTTTGGTGCAACGGCACGCTTTTCTGACTCATTGCCGCTTTGCGTTGCTGCCTGCCTGTCCTCATGATGGACGTCGCACTCTGCCACATTCAAGAGAAGGTCATGCGACTTGCCTAATGGGGCAGTCAGCTCGTGTACATCCCAGCACGCATGGCGTCATGGTTGCAGCCGCTTGATGTGACCGCGTTTGCAAGGCTCAAGCTGGGCATTCAGTGCTTTTGCTGATGCAGACGGTGGATTGCTGGATCCTGAAGGGAGTGTGGCCCAAAGGATGGCTGCCGAATGTGCTTCCAGACCGAAGGATCCTCGCTGGATTTGCTTTTCAATGTTGACGCCGGATGAATGAAGCTTGTGGCTTCTTGCGGGTGCAACTAAGGGCCTCCCTAAATGGAACGCCCCTTTTACAGTCAACCACAGGTTAATTCATCCTGGCTTCCCACTACAGCATTTCCAGAGGTATGGGAACTGACGCAGTAACCCAAATGGAGCGTCGTTCCATGTCAATGAGTATGGAGCAGCAGACGGATGCGGCTGTAAATGACTTCTCTGTAACATAGGCGGAAAAGGGTTTTCTGACTGCTAGCCATGTGGTTTCTTTGCCCTTGTGTTTGTATCTGTGACTGCCTTGCGGCGTGACATCTTTTGTGCGCTCCTCGCATTGGCTTTTTTGGCTCATTGTCCAAGGTTGCTTGTCACAATCTGGGGTTACACTCACTGGACAGTTATCCCAAGCTGAGCTCTAACCCCAGATGTACCAACTCTTCGACGCCAGCCTCAGGAAGTTTGAACCATGGACATCCAGAGATCCTTGTGTATAACCCCGCTCTAGGTTTTGCCTTGAAGGCTTTCAGGCGTTGTTTCTCTCGGCGTCGACGACCCCACCCAAGATTCCCCGTAGCTCCGTCAGAGGACTTCATGTATGGCGCTTTTAATTTACCCACATCCAAATTCTACACGAGGGGCTCATAGCAACAAGGGCGCTGTACCGAATATCATTAACCTCCGCCCTCCCCGAACCCCCTTCCCCCTTGTGTTTGTCACAGGAAGACCCTCGCCCTCATTCAGGTCGGGTGCTCTGTTTTAATGCCCTGTCATGGAAGTTGACCGCCTTCCAAGCCATTCTGTCAACTTCCATGATTGGTGGAAAGAGGGTGGTGAGAAGCTTACGTAGTAAGGAATGGGTGGTTCTCCATCCCTGAGTTCCGGACGGCCAGTCTCAACTCGTAGCAGGGACGTGTAATCTTGAGTTAGGAAAAGGCGCGCACATGTTGAATCTCATTGTGTTTGTATCGGGGTGCGGTGGGGGGGGGGGGAGGGGGCAAGTTTGAGGAAGTGGGTGTGTTTTGTTTGCAGGGGACCCCCCCCAAAAAAAGAAGGCTTGGTTTGGTTTTGTTTTCCCTATGTTTTTCCTTCAAAAAACAGGAGCAAAACCCAGGCATGAGGGGTTTTCCCCTTTGGTTTTCCCTTAAAACCGCCAACGCAATGGGCACCGAGCCTCAAAAACGGAGCCGAGCCATGCCACTTAAAACCAGGTGGCCTCCGTGGCGATACTTCGGGAGAGCGACGCTGAGGCCGGGGGGGGGTTTTCAGGTTTGGGCGCCGAAGAATTCGCGGAGGGGTCTTCAGAGAAAATCCGCGTCAGGAAATATGCATTTCTCTACTGCTATTGGGTTGGATCTTTAGACTTTAACTTTTTGGATTCCCCTCGTATTTTCTTTTACCCAGCAGTTTTTGTTTTAAAACTTTTTGCTAGGGGATCTACAGCACCCAAGGAGGGAATAGAGCTCTTGGAACGCAAGACTTATGCAGAAATAATCATCCAGCTCCTTTGCCTGCTCGGAGCCTTGCAAGAACGGACTGGCTTAACGGGACATTCACAAGTTCAAGCTGCACGTTTGCACCCATTCCAACCAATTTGTACGACCTTCTTCTATTGGAGTCTTCCGGCTCGACTTTAAATAGGGATCCCATGCCGAAAGGAAGCTGAAGCCCATGGGCTTCCATTCCCAACCTTTTGCACGTTCCACGGGTGCTTGAATCGTACAAGTGCGGGGGCTTTGCGCGGGCAAGTAAGCAGCCTTAGAAGGTGCTGTGTGAACTTGTTTTACCATTTTGGGTGTGCCTTCTTTGGAGAGTACAATTTCATCCTCGAGTTGCACGGAAGTGAGATGTGAGGATTCGTTGCCACGACGTGACGGCTTCACAAGCCATCGCCCTTTTTGGAACCTCCAAAAGTCGCACATTTACTGGAGTGACACCACCAGTAAGTTGCATTTATTGAACGAGATCCTGGGTCTCAGTTGCTTCCTAAAAGGAAGTATTGTTGGAACCCTAAGGCTCCAATTCAACTGTTTTTGGGCCCATTGAGGGGCCACAGACCTTAGGACATTCAGATGTGTGAGCCCATATGAAGCGTGTGCATTCTGAATACAGGCCTGTATGAAAGTCGTCCCGCCTTCGGCAAGGGTGCACGAAACGCTGTGAGGATAGTGCCCCCCCAAGAAGCATTATCCCTCCAGCCTTGTTTGCTGCCAGGAGCCCGACGAACATTCGGAAAGAATTCGCACGTCCAAACGATATCCCTCGGTATGAGCCTATCCGCTGCGCTAAGCTTGCTGTTTCGCTGCTATCGCAGGGAAAGAGTGAATGTTACTCAGCTTTGGCCATCCAGGCAAGAATCCTTCCAAACGCTGAAACGATAGTGCCCCTGCAAAACAGCACCTGCCCCAACATGAAAGCTGAACCATTAATTTATGGCCCTTGCCACCGTGCATCAAAGGGAAACCAAAAAGAAAGTCAAAATTGTTGGTTTTACCAATTCTCACACCTGCCCATATTAATGCCTGGTGTGACCCCCGTACACCAACCACGCAGCCGGGCGATAGGCAGACTGCCCTACCGCGCCCCTCATCGCTTCACAGCTGGGCTTGACCGCGGAAGCTCAGGCAGGCAGCGGGGCTGAAGCCCCGATGTCGCCGTGTCAAAGAGGGCCTTTGAAAAGCCCTGGTTCCTTTTCCAATTTCCTGAGACCCAGGCCCCTTTGCCCTTGGGCCCAGACAAAAGGGGGTCAACTTTTTCCAGCGCCACGACTGGGTGGTAATTGGATGTACTAATCCGCCTACCAGCGCAAAGATTTAGTGCACTGTCACAGGCGACCCTGAACAATCATGTTCTAGTAGAATGCCGCTTGCAGTTTGGCATGTTTTCAATAATGCTGGCAGCTGGCTTCTGTTTAAAGCTTCTGTCAGCTCTAAATGCATCTGCCTATTTTACGGCGGGCTCATCTCAGAGTAGAACCAGCTTATGCTTCTGGCTCTCTACTTGGGGATCCCCGGTTTCCTGTTTGGATTCCAACCAAAAAAAATCCCAGACCCTCACCCTGGGCGAGCTGGATGTGCTGAGCAGTGTACTAGGTCACGCAGCGGCCACCAGGCACAGCGCTTGACAAACATGTCAGGATATGATGGACCCAGCTTGGCAAAGCGCGAGCGAGGGGAATGTAGAAGCAACAAGCCAGGCTGAGAGGGCATGGGTACCCGGAGCTAGGTCTGAACTGTTGAGTTGGCAAGCTTTCAACCTGCAGTTCTGTCCAGATAGATGTTTGTAGAACTTGAGAAGAGGCACAAGCCTGTGTTAGCGTGTGTGTTCGTGTGTGTGTTGCGGCTGCCAAACAAAATAACCACACGCGGTTTATCCCTGTTTTTTGTTTCGCTAACTTTGGTAAAGGCACAGGCAGTTTGACAAAGATTTGCCGCGTGTCTTGTGTGGCCATCGCAGCATTTCTGCAGATAGGCTCAGACTCTTTAGCGGCTCTTGTCCATACTGAGCTTTCCAAACCGACAACCAAATGCAGCCGCGGCCTCATCGCGGGTGGGTGGCCCGTTGCATCGCTACTGGACATGGTGCCCGTGTTGCCTTCAAATGAGGCCTTAAAAAGGCCATACAGTGGATGGACGAAATCCTGGACCACTTTGAAACAATGGTAAACCACTGTTTGCTTGTATTTACGGGGCAGTCATCATTGCGGGGCTTCTTGGGTGGTGCAGGATTTCGTCCATCCACAGTATTAGGGCCTCATCGTGGGGAAACAGGAAGGGGGGGGTAACAGTTGGTTTCCTTTTGGAATCCCTTTAACAAAGGGGGAGGTTTAGAGTCTGAATGTTTTATTGTCTTTGTCAGGCACCGGTCAGGAAGCGGGCCACGGAAAGGTATCTTTCATGAGTTGATCAGCTGGTGGATCAAGCATACGCTAACTCGCCCTGTGACACAAGGACAACCTGCGGTCTAATTCCTGGTGGTTTAAGTTTGACCCATTCTGTCCTTTGGCTTTCTTTAGCCAATTTTCTACCCACAGGGCCGAATGGCACAACGCAACACAGAGCCATTGCCACACAACTATCAATACAAGAGAGACACACAGCATACTCAGCTTTTTTTCTTTTTTTTCCAAGAGCCAAAGCACATGCATAGGGCGCATTTATTGTTTGGCCGGGGGGCATGGATGAAGGCACGGCAGATGGCTTGGCCTGCTTTGAACTCGATGTCGCCTGAGGTTTCGTGAAGTCCTGGCCTTGTTGGCCCTCGCGACCACCCAGGCACCTGGACTGTGATCTGAATTCAGCCTGGTTTCTAAGAAGCTCCACAGGAAGTGGGCGAAACTCCCACAAGAGCCCCTCCATTTCCCTTTTGGGAACCTCCAAAACTGGCAGTTTCAGTTTCAGTGGAAACCAAAGGGGACAGCCCCTTCGAGAGTTTGTGCCTTGCGTCCTGGACCTGGCTGGGCTGCATGGAACAAATCGGCCACAGCGTGGCTTTGCTTTTTGAGGCCGCCTTTCTAGAGTGGCTCTGAAAGGAAACTCAAGGACACACCAACTTTTGTTTGGCATGGCAACAACTCCAGGAGACTTGATCTCGGCCATTCCTTGAGCAGCCTGCAAGAGCTTATGCGTTTTTTGACTTTCAGCTTGGTTTTCGGTGGGCTGGAAAGATGGACCCTATGGGGAACTTCCCCCTAGACCATTTCGGGGGGGGGGGGGGAAGAGCGATTGCCAGGCGTTCAAGACGCAGTCCCAGGGGATCGTGGCAAGGGACCAGGATGCCGGCAACCCCATCCGGAAGGTGGTCACTATGATGGAGAAGCTGGCGCCTCGCCCTTTCAGCCCTAAAGTGTCCAGAAAAGCAGCGGATCCTCAGGTTGTCCAGAGAAATTATGCGACTCCGATTGTTGAAGGCCGAGAAATGCCGTAAAACGCGGGTGAAGCGCCAATGAAATGTCGAGCTTACTTCTTGTTTGGGGATTTGGGTTGCACGACTTAGCCTTTTCCACGGGAAGACTCGCGACGCGCGCTTTGGCGCTTTGGCGCAAGGCCCTGCCATCGCTTTGCTCGGGCTCAGGCCTGCTTTGCCTTGGAGCCAGCGAGCCGTTTGTTTGCTTTTGCAACTTTTCCGAGGAGAAAACAAAACTAAGGGTCTCCAGTCTCCCTATCTACACCTGTATCCTCTTTTGGGTGTGTGTCAAACTCGGCTTGGGGGGGCATGTTTCGTGCTGCCCTTCTTGGATTCAGGCGGCTAGATGGAGCCCCCAGAATTCATGTATGGAAGACATGGTGCCTATAGAAAGGACCTTGCCCACAGATTATTCTGTGGATGCAAGGCAGCACCTTGCGGGCAGGGTGGTTCTCAAAATATTCAAAGCCGGCAAAAGGAGCCTGGAACCCACAGAATCACGAGGCCTCTCCCCGTTGCCTCATGGGGTCTTTACTTTTTGCCTGACTCAGGCCATTGCGAACCGGGAGAGGGGGAGGGGTTTGGATGGCCTAGGCCAAGAAGATCGAGGAGGAGGGGAAAAGTGAAGAGGACCTCTATGAGAAGTTCGAGCGCTGGCCTTAGCTTGAAACCGCTCGCGATCTGCAACGAAGAAGTGGCCGCTGCGGGCGAGCTGTTGACGTTTTGCTTCAGGCTTCAGGCTAACATGTCAGAAGCTCCCAGAGTGCCGATCCTGTACATGAAACCAAGTCTTCCAAAGGGGTCCGTTCGCGAGCTTCCATGTGCGTCGTGAGGGCAATATGTGTCTGTTGTGTCTGTTGTTTGCTTCTTTGGCAATGTTTCTGCCTGTGCCAGCATGCCACGGGTTGGGAGGTCCGGTTACTTCTTCGCCCATGTTTGTTCCGGTCCCCAAAAGCGACCCCTGGCAGGTCCTTAAGGCCGGAAAAAAACGCCATGGGGGGTTCCCCAACAGAAGACACGCCCAAATGATTCGGGGCATTCTGTCTGTCTTTTGGCCTTTTCCTCTCGCATGACTCTTGGGAAGTGCGGCCAACTCCTCGGCAAAAAGTTGGCACCTCATGGCTTTTTGGGGATTTTTTGGGGCCCCAAGGCCAGGGGCCTGGGGAAAGTCGTGGGCTTTACCCGTCACCCTCGCATTTCAAGAAGGTTTTGACGTGTTAATTTCTCATAACCAGAACTTTGCCTGGAGCCGCGATGGCCCCAGGCCATTGGGGCCAAGGCCAGGGTTAGAGGTCTGGGATGTTTCAGAGACGTCCGCGGGCACCTCGCGTCCCAGGGCTTTCTTTTAGGAGGGGTGTGTTTGTGACAGCAAGCCCTGCGTCTTCAAATATTGCTTTTTCACAAACAGAACCTGGGTGTCGCAGTAGAACACCAAGTTGTTGTTGGAACTGTGGGCGGACGGTGGCAAGGCCTGGCTGCCCGCAGAGAGATAGCAACAATTATGTTTCCTGATGAGGGTTCGCTGTGTTTTTGCTTTGAGGTGGCTTTGGGTGTGTGTGTGTGTGTGTGTGTGTGTGTGTGTGTGTGTGTGTGTGTGTGTGTGTGTGTGTGTGTGTGTGTGTGTGTGTGTGTGTGTGTGTTTTTTTGGTGTTGTGAGGATTCCAGGCTTGTTTCCACCTCAGGTTTTTGCCACCTGCCCCTTGAAGGATACAATGTTTTTTTTGTTTGTTGACTTTAAACTTTCCCAGCTGATTTACAGTAAAGCAGCTGGGTGACTCCTTATGCCGGACTGTTGTTGGTTGCCAAGATACATCAAAGTTCCCTTAGGGGCGATGTTTGGGGAGTTGCTTGCTTTGCTTTGCTTTGCTTTGCTTTCTTTGCCTGCCTGCCTGCCTGCCTTCCCGCCCGCCTGCCTGCCTGCCTGCCTCCCTGCCTGCCTGCTGCTTGTTTGTTGTTTGTTGTGTTCTTTTCTTCTTTGGTTTGCTTGTTTGTTTTTTGGTCGCTCGTTCGACCAATCGAGGAAGCCCCCCCCGCTTGGCAACCCAGGTGCTACTGCAGGAGGACCACCACGGAGCTGGAGCAGAGCATCTCCATGGCCGCCCGGAGACTCGGAGACTCGGAGACTCGGAGACTCGGAGAGCGGCTGATCCGGGCACCGCAGGGCGATGGGATCCGCGAAGCCTCACCGCCCTGGACTTGACTCACGTTTTGGGTTTGGACCAGTTAGTGGTAGACAGAACAGTTTGGCGACTTTTTTCTTGCCAATCCCCTCGGAAAGTGAGATGTCACCACATAAGACCTTTTTTGGGGGTGAAGGGGGCAACAGCTGAGCTGGAGCTTTTGTTGTTTGGCTCCGCAAAAAAGTCAGGGCCCGCCCAAAGAGGGTTTTCTGCATCCTAGCAAAAGAGAGATGCAGGGTGAAACACATGGCAAACCCTTGAGTTTCAGGCGACGCGTCTGGGTCCAACTCAAGATGTTCTATCAAGATGAATGCTCAACAGGCAGACCCTGAGGTCCTGTGCGCACGCGTCCAATCCCTGTGCATGTCTATTGAGATGTGTATATATCATATTATACATGTATGTAGTATATATACATTTCTTAGGAAGGGTGTATATTCTTAGGGATAGGGAGGGTGTCTGTAAAAAGGCATCCACTGTTTCGCGGGGGAAGGCGGCAGTGGCGCGTTTGAGGTGACGAGTCCCATCACCCAGGCGGACATCGATAGCAGGAAGGCGTCGAGTCGTCGGATCGTCGAGTCACGTGCTCAGTTGCCCATTGGATTCGGCACATGGGCCACAAACAAAACACGGGTAGAGGAAGGTTAGGAAGGGATAATCCCAAAATGGGTGCGGATATCCGCCTTCTTGGTTCGTTAATTAAATGGTGCTTGTCAGACCATGTTCGTGCCAGGGGTTGTTGTTTACGACTCACTTTTCCCCATGTTTTTGGAAGGGTCTCCCTTAAACATCGGCCAAGAACAGGCTGGCGTGCTTTTGTTTCCTCAGTTCCACGCGACTGTGGGCCCGAATTTGCAAGACAGTCCAGAACAAAGGACCCTCTTGGCTGAGCCAAACGGCGGAAAAACCAAAGGCTCCAGTCCTGGTTGGTCCTATGCCACCCCGAGCATCTTGCGGCCCTATGGCCTCAGCTCCTTTTTTGGGGGGGAGCCACCCTGGCCGAGGTCTTCTTTGGGGATCCCTGCGTCAGGCATGTGAGGTCTCGATTGGCAGATTCATTCGGTTAACTTGACCCCCCTGCCTTCCTTCAGCACCGCGCACAGGGTGCCACCTGGGTGCAACTTGACTTCCCAAAAGCCTTAGGTCCAGGGCCCGGAAGCCAACCCAACATTCGGGGGTTTCCAGTTCCCAAGGCTAAATTGGAAGCAGAAGGATCCCTGGATGAATTCATGCCAAGCTATGAGTTGATGTTGGGTGGAAACGGGTTTAGAACAACGATCTTCCTAGCAATCGTGGGAAGTTGGTGGCGTGAGGCAGTGTGAGCCAGAAGTGTTGAGGCGTTTTCGTAAGACAGTGGCCTTTCAAAGCCCTCCGATCGTCCACTTCCATGTTGGAACTATTGATTGCAGCGGGGAAATGAAGGGACCTTGGGCTGGCGCGAAACAATTGACAAATTGGCAAGGCCAATTTGGAGTGAGAGCTGGCTGGATAAATAGAATCCTGAATGATTGAAATGGGCGTGTCTCCTTTCAGAGGGTGTCCTTCACTGTTTTCTTGGGGACGCAGCCTGTGAATCCGCAAGGTCGATGACCCCGATGTCAACATTGGAGGGAAATAGATGTTGAAACAAACACGCACACACAGAAAAGGAAACATGACATCAATTCGTCCGGGCGGCTTCCTAAAGCATCTACCAACAGCTGCAATGTTGACTCCGGAAAACATCCCGAGTCTCCCTAACAACTTTGGCAACATTGGAACTTCCTTTTGCCTGCGTGGGCTATCAAGGGCCGTCTTTAAAACCAATTTTTCTCACACCTACTTTGGCCCCATTCCTTGGGTTGCTACAGCTGCGAACAGCCTCGTTGACCCTGGAGAAGCTCGAATAGGACACCTACTCGTTTTGGAGTGCTCCGATGAAAAAAACGGAGTTGAACCGTAGGTGCTATTCGGTTGGAAAAACATCAACTTGCTCCACTAACCCACATAACATGTCTTGAACTTTGTTACAGTGCCCGCTCCTGAACCTTTCAACGGAAGGCCCGAATTGTTCCAGTAGACATGGAGGTGTTTGGGGGTGGGTCTCAAAAAATCCACCTGGCTGTTGGAGGGCCGGCCCCTTCAATACGAATCGGAGCCTCTGGGGCACCTGAAATCTCGCAGGCGGAGGTGGACACCCTGGAGGCGGAGGTGAAGAAGCTGAAGGAGGATCGCCTCGCGGAGGAGGAGACCCTCAAGGCCTTTCGACCCGAAGACCCAAAAAGCCTTCCGGTTTGGAAGCGAGGTGTTGTCTTTAAAGGGAAAGGCACGGAAGACATCCATTCATGGGGACTGGCTTTTTGACTGGCCCGAGATAGACTTAACTTCAGGGTTTGTCCTTTTGGGGGAATGAACCACCCCTGGGTTTAAGTCACTTGGGTAGTCGGGAACCAAAAGGGGATGGGGAGTTGTTAATTTTTCCAGACCCCCTATGAAGCACCCAAGACCGCTTGCTCTCCCTTTTCTTGCAGCAGTCGCGTGAGGTCCAGTAGGGGGCTACGCAAAACCTATAGCTCCCTTTTATGGCTTCTTTGCGGCAAACGCTGGTCTTCCACTCAACATGGCTGGTGACGCCTCGGACCACCCCCCGTTCAAGGCTCCAGAAAGATTCGTTTTTGTTGGGGGATTGGTTTTTATCCAACTTCAAGGGTCGCAGGAATGGCAAGCCTGGCTACCGTCCCTTGTGTTTGGGGCCATTTTTCCCTGAAGAACAGATGACCTGGAATCTCTCTTGTGCATGTGCATGTGAGCAGCACAGCCGATGCCCATAGGCCATGTACGTTCTAGGTTCCTGCCTAATTAGGGGGTGTTGAACTGTTGGGGAGGTCCGCGGTTTGATTGGAGGGCTTTTTACGGGGCTCATCACCCTTCCATAGGGTTAGTGGCAAACAACCTTGGCTGTTCTTTGCCATTTTCACATTGCCCCCATTGAATCCAGCTCAGTGGATTCCACCCTCGAAAATCCCTCGGCTTTTTGGTTTGGGCTCCCCACTTAAAATGGACTCCCCCGCCCAAAAAAAAACAAAAAACAAACAGGTTCTAACAAACCGGTTCCGGTCGCTTGCATCAGGGGACTCATGTGTAGCATCCAATAGCTGGAACTTATTTGGTCGGAACCCATTTAACCGGCCCAAAACATATGTGTGGCATCCGAACTGAACCCATTTTGCTCGACACCGTCCCAAAGGCTCAGCCCCAAAGAAACGGCTTGCGGCGCCGCCGGTTCCTTTCGCTCGGAAGCGGAACCCGCGTCTCGTCTTTCAGGCGGCGGAAGGGCAACGGGGCAAGGAGAAGGCCCAGTACACGGAGGAGAAGACAGAGGACAGCGAGGCAACCTCGCCCAAGACTTGCAAAGTCCCACTTGGGGGGGGCGATTCGGCGATTCTGACAAAGAGTTGCAACCCATGGTGCACCAACCCCCCGAAATCAAACAACCTGCTTACAGGTTTTCGGACTTTGGTCACTTTGGGAAGGGCTTGTGGTGAACAAAGAGTTCAAACTTGTGATGACCAATCCACTCAAGTGCGCTTTGGAGAGACAAAATCGGATGCCCGTATCCCGTACCCCTACCCCCTCTGTTTGGTTGGTTGGTTGGTTGGTTGGTTGGTTGGTTGGTTAGTTGGCTGTTTTTTAGTCGTATCCCCACACAACGGATCTCAGAGCCGGCTTGGGACTTTTCGATTTCTCACCACCTAGGAATCAGTCGGGACACAAATGGGGCCGAAGACAAGCCTCGCCTGCTGAAAAATGAAACGGACGTTTTGTTTTGGGGGGCTATTTCCCAACTCAGCAACAAGTGCTTTTTCTTCAGTGGACCTTTGGTTTCCGCCCAATCCTCAAGTACCCCAGAGAGATTTGTGACATGGGGCTTCTTTGGTTTTTGTGCTTTAAATGCGACCCGTGGAAACAGGGATTTGTCAGACCCGCCCTTCAGGCAATGTACTGGCGTTTTGTTGCGGTCTCGGGCCCATCAAGTTTCCGGCAACACGGCTTGTCATTCGTCATAGCTTTGCTGGAAGCCAACCTGTCAAACTCCTATAGTGAAACTCGTTGTGGGTGACCCTGAGTTGGTCCGAGCCTCTGAATTACGAACCTGCAGTCCAGAATTGGTCTTTTGTTGGTGTCTTGCTTCAGGGTAAAGTAATAATTATACTAATGTGTTTACCCGCCAACGGTGCCATTTTGGCTGCTTCGCCGGAACATGTGTTTGTCCTAATTCGTGTTTTGGGAGGGAACATTTCGGGTTCTAAGACACAAGTTCTGATTAATTTGCTTGCGCCAAGTGATGCGGTTTCGTAGCATCCTTTGTTCGGAAGCCATGTGCTACCCATGGGTCACCGAATTCATTGCAGCCTGCCGAGCTTGAGCTTGTAAGCTTTGGTTTTCCCAAGTGGGTCATTGTTCACGAAGCCATGACCCCTAATTAAAGGGTACTGCAGACCCCAGATCAACAAACCCCATTTTACGCATAGGGGGATGTCCCTGGGTTTAGTGGGGAATCATCACTTTTGGAGTGGCCCCACCCCTATATTATATAAAACATGCTGGGGTTGTGAACCTTCAGCCCTTCAAACTCTGGGTCCCATCAAAAACAGCTGATGCAAAATAGTGTTGTGAATTCTCCCTGTAATTTGTATAGATTGAAGCCAGGGTGTTGAACATGTTGTGCATGACCGGGCCATTCTGGTACGAGGGCCCTTGAGTCATAGCGCTCGAAGCAAAAAGTAAGAGCCCGATTTGCTTGCTACGTTCACATTGGTAGCGGAGCGTTGGTTGAACGACTCCGGGCAAGTCACGGCGGTAGGTCATGTCAGTGGCCGGGCTTCGTTTCAGCCCGGACCACGGCGCTCGTGCAACAGACCCTGCTGAAACTCGGAGTGGTTCATACATCTATGGTGGAGACCCCGCTGGTTTCCATGATTGGGAATTCCGCACCATGCTTCGCCTGAGGATGTATGAGGAGTCTCTGAGAACCAAGAAAACAGCCAAACGGACTGTGAAAGAAGAAGGAGAAGAAGAAGGTTCTGCAGAAGCTGAGGCCAAGGAGGCTTTTAGGGACACGAGGTCGGAGCTCACGCACCGGATTGTAGAAGGACTCCGGGGCGATGCGTTCTTGGTGGCCCGTGATCTCGGACTTGATGCCTTGAGTGAGCCGCAAGGTAATGACCGATCCTGAAGAGATGCCAATTATGGCGAGTTTGAAGAGATAGGTGATGAAGGCGAGGCCACTGCTCTCAACGCCATGGAAGAGTTGGATGCAGAGAGCAGTGATCCGCTCAGTGTCGGAGAAGCCATTCAGCTGCAGCTGGCAGCGAATGCTGCCTTTGGTAAGGCCAAAGGAAAAGGGGGAAAAGGACCGAAAGGAAAAGGGAAAGGAAAGTTGGTTCGGTCACATCTGACACTGGAACAGCGCCGATCAAAGTTGCAAGAGTTGAAGAAGAGAAGCAAATGCCTCAGGTGTGGAGGGCACGGCCACTGGGCCGGTGACCCTGATTGCAAATTTCCAGGCCCAAAAGGGAAAGGTGACAAGCCTGCTGGATCAGCATTTGTGGCGTATGACAGTGACACTTCAAGTGATCACGAGATTTGCTTGCAGGCAGGCCAGGCACCTGAAGGCGTGGCTTTGGTAGTATCCAATTCCAGGTCGTCTAGATCAGGCAAGGGTTACACAAAGGCGAATGCGTCGGATTCTGTGCCTGTTCCACGGAGCCCACCTAGGTCGTCTGACCCTGTGCCCATTCCCATGAATACCCCTTCCGAGGATCAAGATGCAGTCACGAGAAACAACAGAGCTCGAATCGTGGTTCGTGAGGGGGAGATGGATGAGGACCTGGAAGGCGGTGAGCAGAGGATGCTTCTCGGAAAGTACAAGGGAATGACATACCGGCAAATTGTCATTCAAAACCGTCAGTATGTAGCATGGGGATTGTCACAGAAGAAGCCATCACAGGTTTTACAATCTTTCCTCAGCTGGGTCATGAAGCATTACGTTGTTGAGGGAAGTACATTGACGAAGAGATCGCTTTTAGCTGTTCCCCCGGGTACGTACAACCCCATGGAAAAGCCATCTTCGTCGAGGGATCCACCCCTTGAGAAGTGTGTGGAATGCAAGTATTTCTCGTATCAAGGATCAACGGGATATACGGTTCGGAAAACTTGCAGAAATTGTGGCCATGCGACCACGACGAAACGGGAAGACATACCAACTCATTCTGTTGAGAACTGTCCGCATGAGCTGGTTGATCACAGAGGTTCTTCCCGGTCGACGTTTCGGGTGTGGTGCAAGCAATGTGCTAGCTTCATCAGTGAGATGCCCATGGAAGATAGAAAGGAAATGAAGGCAACATCAAAGCAGGTTGAGCAAGCCATCATACAAGGACTTGCCTCAGCAGATGCCCAACATAGGTTGTCAGAAAGTCAAGTGGAGGAAATTGTAGGTACGTTTTCAGCGGTTGTGACCCAATCTCTGACGGCAGGTGAGGAACTGGCAGCTGCAGACCTGCACATCATCCTGCAGGACTGTGTAATGGAAGTGACGCAAGGGGGTGAGCCAGCATCACCACCCTGGGAAGCGGTCGCTTATCACGGGATGGACGACGAGATGAAACCTGACACAGTGTCCGTTCAGAACTTTCCTGTTGTTGACATCTATGCAGAAGACGAAAAGGATGTGTGGGGTGCGTTGGATGAGGGTTGCAACAGCACGGTCCACTCATCTTATTGGGCAGATGAGATGGAGAAGAGGCTTAGAAAGCAAGGCATCAGCATGCCATGGATTAACAGGGAAACGAAGAAGTTTACTGGTTTGGCCTCGAATGCGGTGACCTTGGGCATGCGAAGAATGCCGTTTGCGATGTGTTTGACCAATGATGAAGTTATTTCAGGCACCTTGGAGTCACATGAGTTGAACTCTGGCAAGACACCTTTGTTGATTTCCTTGTATGCTCAAGCGACTCTGGGCTTGGTGAAGGACATGGGTGCAGGAACAGTCAGCATCAAGGGACATGGCGAACTCAAAATCCACAGATGTTCACGAACAGGGCTGATGATGATTAACCTTTCGGAATTTCAGAGGTATCAGCAAGTTAGAAAACTGCCCAAATCAGTTCGTGCGCTCAGAGCTGAAGTGATTTTCCCTCCTGCGGCAATGGCTGGTGGTAAGGATGGTCCTGACTGTGTGCAGCTCCTGCAGGGGACGTACAGGTACAACAGGGTGCCGGAGTTGGTGTGCGATACTGGCACTGTGGTATTGTCTGTGGGGCTGCGTTGGGATTTTGCCAACCACGAGATGATGAAGATGGAGAGAGATCACGACGTGGTGATGGAGATCTTGCCGGAGAACCGCAGGAGTTTGCCGACGGTGATGCTGGACTGCAGGGGCATTCATGACCCTGATTGCGGCCGGTATCGAGGACACGTTGGCAGGCATTTGCAGATCATCAAGGGGGTCTACACACTTGAGATGCGTGTTCTGTTGAGACGAGCCCTTGCTTTTTATCAGGAACATGGCGGTGCATGCAATGTGGTATTTGTATGCAAGAGCGGGCGTCATCGGAGTGTCTCAGGTGCGACCTTGTTTGGAGCAATGCTGTGCAGGATGGCTGAGGACAACTGGCGCATTGTGCACTATCACAGTGACAGCTGGAGAAGAATGGACTGTGGCGGTCATTGCGAGATGTGCAACATGACGGAGGCGAATGCGAACAACCTGGTTGAGATGGTGGAGAGTTCGTTCCCGAAGGAGCAGAGAAGCGCTCCCAAGCCGGCGGCTCCTCGAGTTTCGACGCCGAAGCCTGTGCTCATGAAGATTCAGTCCAAGGCGAAACCCCAATCGGTGGTGAAGGAGAACCCGGTGAAGGTGCCAGCTGTTGAGGAGAAGAACCAGGAGATGGAGCAGTTGAAGGCCGAGGTGTCTCGGCTTGCTGGCATGGTGAAGGGACTCGTGGAGGAGCGCGACAAGGCCAGGAGCTCGAGGGGCAGGTCAAGGACACCTCTCAGGCGTGCGAGCCGATCCACATCGTCGAGGACGTTGGAGTTGGGCAGTGCGCCATGGAGGGAGTTCGACAGCCGCGAATCGCGGAAGAGGAAGGCAAGCTCACCGGAGACAACACGGGACGCTTCTGCGGGGTCAGCGCGTGGTGACACGGACTTCATTGGCGATGTTGACCCTGATCGTTGTGGACCTGGAGATTTCTCGGCACGATCAACGAGACCTTTTGAGATGAGCTTGCAATACAATCAGAGGGCGCAGCTTCAGTTGACGCCGAAGTACTGGTTGCAGAAATTCGTGGAGAACGTCAATCATGATCACGAAGGATGGATTGGCCCTT